CCACCTTCAGACTACAGGCCAGAGATTTATCCCTCCCTTAATAAGCTAAACCACAAATCAAGTTTAACTGCTACCTCAGGCCAACCACTGCCCCATACTACAGTATAGTGATATTGAGATGGATTCTTTTGATAGAGAATGCCCAAAATTATGTATTTGAAAGATATTTTGGGTACTATTGTCTTGGTTTCTTAGAGGTTTTGCAAATACAGTATCATGGCAACTCAGCTGTCCTACTATCTTGAGCTAATAAGCAAAATCAATCTATAAAACTACAAGAAAAGATTAAATGATAAAAAGCATTTTTGAAACAGAAGGTACAGGGAAACTAAAATTCTTGTTCTGAAAATAAATTAGTGTCATTGATAACAATTCATTTAAATTCCATTGGGTTACATCCTCCCCTCAGCATGAACAAGCAATCAGCAGTGAAACCACCCACAGAGCTGCAATTACCTAATTACTGGTAGCTATTAAAATACCTCTGAAAGGGGAAAAAAAATAAATGCTATAAATTGCACCTTGTACTTTCAAGTTGGCTTTGTTGATGTCACATCTTTCCTATTATCACATCTTTATTTTCTTAATTATTTATGGTGTCCTATGCTCTTGCTGTTACGATTCACTGTGTGAAGGGAGTCAAATCAGAAAACCAGGCACATTGTTATTTTTGTAAATATCTACCATTTTCATATGTTTGTATGAAATAAGATGTATACAGAACATAAGAATTGTCCCTTAATAAGCAGTATTACCAAGAAAGTTGCTTAGCAGTATTCTCTTGGAAAATTCATATTATTTCATTAGGTCTAGGGAAAGACATCTAGAAAAGGACTTAAATAAATTAAGGACAGAGTTCTATTCAGTCAACTTTTCAAATCATATCATTTTCATTTTACTAGGAAGCAGCAGATCACACATATTATTATATTCAATATGAGGTGATTTTTGAAAAAATGCGCTTTCTTACAAGTTACATGCTGCACTTGTAAAGCCACTTTGCTACAAAAATACTTCCTAAGGCTGAATCATGAGGACCTGAGGGAACTACTGCAGTCATGAGAAAGGCACATGACCCCTCCAAATTCTGAGCCACAAATTACATCTGGAATTGTTTTGCTTTTAACAGAGGGACATTGCCCTTATTAGTATTCTGCAACAGACTTTTGAATTTGACCAGGATCCAAAGTATGGAGAAAATGATCCCTGCCTGTTGAGCACAAGCAGGGTTTAAGAATTGTTTTCTTGGTTTCCCACCAACTTCAGAAAAAACAACCAATCAATTTGAAATATGGCATGAGACTCAGCGATTCAAAGAAAAACAAAGTAATTATGAGGGTTTTCATGAATTTGGTACGTAAGCCCATTTACCTCTGTGGAACTGCTTGCACCTTTTGCTCATACAATTAAAAATGTGTTTGTAGAAAGAATGTGTGGACTTCCTGCTTGAAACAAGCAGCCCCTCAGGATGAGTGTTGGCATTACTGACAAGGAGTCCCAGCAGCTGCCAGTGAGACAAGGTCTAGAGCTGCAGCCCAGATTGAAAGGGAAAAAAGAGTCAAATAAGCCACTGGAGATAATTGATTTGTAAATTACAATTTATATATCATACCTTGCCTCTAATAAGCTCAAGGTAGCATGCCTGGCTGCTTATCCTCTTCTCCTTTATCTTCAGAATACCTCAGCTAGGCAGCTTAGAATGAGAAAGAGTGACTTGGTTCAAGATCAGCTAGTGAGTTTCATAGTTTATTGGAGCCTTAAGAATTTTTTAACTACTACACAGCACTGGTGTAGTAGTTAGCAAAATATATTTGCTACCGAAGAATCATATATATGTGTGGAAAGGTTTCTAGCTTTGAAGTACAGATGGGCACAAACCTTGGTTTTGAGTTTGTGCTGGTTTGTCAGACCAGCACCACGGGTGCTGTGTTGTTCTCTTCCCCCACGCCTGGCCAGATCCCCCTCTCACCAGCTTCTCCTCTTTGGCCGTTTGACCATCCCCGGCAGGAGCACGTGCTTCCCTCCTCGAGCAGCTGGCCATTCAGACAAGGAGGCAGGTCAAGGATTCCTGCAGTGCTGCCTTTGAGTGGGCAGCTGCCAGAGGAGGCGGAGGAGAGAGGCATGCACTCCTGCTAGGACTAGTTGAATGCCTGAAGAGGAGAAATACAGCTGGTGAGTGGGGGATCTGGTTGAGCTGTGGGGCTGGGGAAAGGGAATGCATGGCACCTTTGGTGCTTGTCCAACTAACCAGCATGAACCTCCAAAATGAGATTTGTGTCTAATCTCTACTTAGAAGACAAATTTCAAACCAATAATATCAGGTGAGAGAGGGGTGGTGGGACAAGTCTCAGCGCTCATGTAGAAATGACAAATGGTAGTGCCTGGGGATATATAGTGGTATCTCAACTTACAAACTTAATCCGTATTGGAATGTCTCAGCGCTAGAAATGACAAATGGTAGTGCCTGGGGATATATAGTGGTATCTCAGCTTACAAACTTAATCCGTATTGGAATGGTGTTCCAACAAAAAACCCACACAAATCTAAAAACAACACAACACAGCACAGAAACATAACCCCCCCAGTCCAAACCCACCTTCCAAAATCCACCCAGAACCTCTTTTTTTAAAGGAAAAAGCAGCACCTTACCCCGTCCGAAGCCTCCCAGGCTTCCACTGCTGCTGTGACCGCCCCCTCTGGGAGGCTTGAGCCTGGCCGGGTTTCTTCTGCCGCTCGCCTCACAGCTCGCCTTCCACTTGCTCTGCGCCACCCTCCATGGGCCGATGGTGGGAAATTCAAATGGTGGAGGGTGGCGAGGAGCGAGCAGGAGGCGAGCCAGGAGGCGAGCAGCTGAAGAAAGCCAGCCAGCTTAAGCCTCCCGGCGCTGGGCGGTCACTGCCTCTGCCACCACCGTCACTGCCACCAGAGCACCCAGGAGGCTCAAGCCTCCTGGATCTGGGCTACCCCCACCGTATCCCTTTCCCTAACTTTTGGGGCGAAAAAGCTACAAAGAAGCAGCCTCTTCACCACCATTAGTAAATTCAAATTTCCTGCCCTTTCCCCCTGCCTTTTTGTGTTCGTAGGTCGAACCTCCGTTTGCAAGCTGAAGCAAAATTCTGTGAATGAAGCGGTTCATAAGTCGGAATATTTGTAGGTAGGGATGTTCGTAAGTTGAGGTTCCACTGCAGTTTCCATTATATTGATTAGATAACTGAGCTAAATCCTTACTGATCATAACGAAGGCAGGTCTTGTAAGCTAGAAGGTAAAGTGACTTGGCAGGATCATAGCTGAACAATATAGGTTTTATTCTGAAATCTTATTCTATTTCATTCCTGGAGTCAAATCCCAAGAGTCCAGAGCTAGAAATGTAAAGCTGACCAACCTAGATTTTATTGTCAGTGGCATCGAGTCCTTAGATGAAAATATAGGTCCTGAATAGTTTTTCCAAACCAATGGACAAGGGTCATGCTAGCTAAAGGAGCATTTAGTGAATTTTCACAAGAGCAAGCTAAACATTTTCAAATGTAAAAGCAAAATAGCCAATTATTGTATTGAAAGCACATTGCCTGGTTTAAAAGGTAAAAACAGACAGTTTGTCTATACTGTCTGTTTTTGCTTCTCAAACTGTTAAAAATTATAAGCAATAAGTTATGAGAAATAAAACTGGATCAGTTTTAGACATTAACTGTGCAAACTTATGTATTTTTAGTTTATTGTATAGAGGCTTACTCTTGAATCATTAAACTATATAATAGAAATGTGTTTGTTCTGTTCACTCATGTTTGTTTCTCATTGCTACACACTTCACAAGTTGGGAAGTCATAGGTTTGAATGGTGAAAATGGATAATAAAAATATATTTCCAATATATATTCATTTTCTGTGACCTGGAGAAATTACATGCAATAGGATATTTCTGAAAGTGTTCACCTTCATTTCTGAAGACCTCCTAAAGCTATCTTGGAAAGTGTTTACACCCCCAGTTTGGGAAACGGTTTTCCTGATGATTCAGATTCCAACTCTCAAAATTTCTGACCCTTTACCAGAAACCTGCCACTAGAATACTAGTACCACAACTGCCAAAAGTTTTTTTACTGAATTTAGGACACTACTACTGCTAACAAATTTAAACTTCTGGATGAACATATTCAAAGCAAATTCATACTGAGAAGCTTGATGTTTGAAGCATTTTGAACAATGAAGCACATACTGTACTGAAACTACTTTTAATGGTTCATCTGACTTGTCTTTAATGTGGGGAGGAATGGAGGGATCACAAAGTCCTCATTCTGTTGGAGCAAAAACATTAAATAGTTATCTTTAACTGTATTTGAGCTAATTTGAGGATTCTTCTATCACAAAGTCAGTAATGGCAGACAGTATTCACTGAAAAACAGTGCTCACTATTACCAATGTATGTACTGGTGTTTGCAACATATTAATTCATGAGTTTCATAAAGATGAAAATGCCTAGCCAATATGCAATGAATGTGTGCTCTACAACACTTCGGCATACTTTGCAAAGTGCAGGGTGTGTGTTTCCCATCATACCCAGGGACACTTTCTCTTCCACCCCCACCTCATTCTACTTAATTACAGGACTTTTTCTGGCTAAACTGTTAGCACAACAGCTTTCTTGCAACTTTGGAATAGTCTAATTGGTCTTGCTGAAAAAAATACTGCATTACATGCAACATTATGCATATAGAGTTAATTCATGCAACAGGAATTCCCCTTGCTTCATTCCCTGTCTCATGTTCCCCACTTCTGCTCTACAGGTCACCCCCCCACACACACACACACCCTTATGCTTCAGATCTGAGCATATGTGCACAAGATCACAGAACAAAGGTGAACTCTGACTCCTTTTTCTGAGGAGTGCTCCATCTGATTAAAAAAAAAGAGTATCAACTATGAATACAGTGAGCTAGAATGACACAACATACTCACAAGCATACAATTTTACACTGAGTAATAGTATGCATACCAAGAGGGGAAAATATCCACTTTATATATGTATAAATATTTATTATCAATTTAAAGACTTCATTTGCTACAAAGTTATATATTTGTCTGTTCCATGTTGTCTTGCTATGCACATGGGTTTCCCCACACTGCAGCTACCTCTCTTCTGTTGTTCTATTCCCAGCTTGTCTATTAATTATGCTAAATCTGCAACTTCTAAGTCATTAGCATTAATTCAAAGTTTGGTAAAAAGAAACTCCCAGAGAAACAGTTACAAAGATTTTGACACAAAAAGTGAATATACAAATGCTGAAAAAAGTGATGCTGTGGAAAAAAGTGCCTTAAAATTTACTATACATTTTGCTGTAACTTCATACATTGCTTCCACATGCAAGATAGATTTTTATTACATTTGGTGTAAAACATTTATACACATTCTTTACAATTTGTACACATATTTCATGGCTGTATCATAACACTTTATGGAATTTTGAAAGGCAAGCAAAGAGGAAAACAACGTGTGTAGAAAAATATAACGAAAACATTACAATAAAGAGCATTTTGAGCCAGGCTAGCATTCTGGGATTTTATTTTGTTGTGGGATGTCATATTATCTTGACTGACCCAGATTCCTTATTATTCTAAATGATATGAAATACGTACACGTGAAATGGCAAATATGTTTATAGAGTATGTACCCATCATTCATAATGGATAGAAAAAGAAGGTGTTCACTTCTAGACTAAATGTTATTTCTAGTGAAAGTTGCGTTTGGCACTATGGTCTGTTTGTGGCAACCTTCAGTTCAGCCATCATTCCTGTAGTTCAAGCCTTTAACCCACTGTCAGCATATGAGATTTGTCTAACACCTGGCACTTAAACCAAGCTTTTCCAACAGTTCAGGTTTGGAAAACAGTAACCTTTATCACCATTACAGAATTAAGTGATTTAAAAGTTAGCTCTATCACTTTATGGTTATTTAAAGCATAGGAGAGATCTCAGGGGAATTTTTGTCCCATTAGTAGTTAATGGACATAAATAACTAAAGAACCTGCACACATGGTGAGGATAGTGGTGAATGTCCCTAATACTAATAGCACTGGATATTACTGGGAAGTAGCAAAAGGTGCATGACTAAACTACTAGATGGAAGAATTTTCCAGATGTTTGGAATGGCTGTCTTTAGATTCACCCCCCCTTTCCCCCCATAGAGACAAGAAAGGAAGTATTCTAACTTTCAAGTTCTCAGGCATCTCTTGTACAAGAACAGGATACTTAAAAGATTCTAGCAGGGCAAAAATCCATTTTATAAAAATTCTGTCTAATGCCTGCAGTAAGGAAGGGGTTAACCTTTGCTCAACAGTGCAAACTTTACGGCAAAAACTTAAAATAATTTACTTGGATGCTGCATAAGATTTAAAGAACTGGGATAAATAAAATATTTTTAGCAGAAAATCTGTACATCTACCAATCCTTTCTGATTAAAGAATATCTGTTCAGATGACACGAAATACTTTTGAAGAACCAGGACAATGTTTTTTCTACTGTGCCTGGTAACAAACCATGTGGCAACTGAAAACTGATCATAGAGAGCCTTTTCAGTCTTGCTTAATCAGAAAGGAAAGGAAAGCATTCAAGATGAAAATACACATAAATATCGAAGGCATTTAGGCTGACAAAGTAAACATCTGAAGTTTTCACTTTTTTGCATCTTATTTTTGGGAAAAGAAAGGCTTTTGAATGGCAAAGGCTAACACTTCTTGCATTTGCACTGCCCCCACCGAAGATCAGAAAAGCACTTTGGATTTGTTCATCGTTATCTGTCCGCATCTACATCACTGGAAAGCGACTGAGAGCCTGCCTCAGCTTTTGTGCAATCTGAAATAGACAAACATACACTGTGCATTAGTGTGAACTTCAGCATATCCAAAATTACTCGGTTTATACTCTCATTTTAAAGATCTTTAGAAAAGGAAGCAATTCTCTCTCTCTCTCTCACACACACACACACACACACAAACACAATATTTGTTAACACAGCAACTGTAAGTATATATTCTGCAAAATGTACTATACAGTCTTTTACATATTGACTTTGAAATAAGTTCCACTGAGTTAAAAGGGATTTACTGACAGGGAAACTGATATAGGACAACACCCTTAATATTCAAAAATATTCCACTTTAATGTTTAGGATTTCAGTCTGACTTGCAACTTATTTTAGTATTCTTAAAGACTGCTATACCAGCAAGCTTTGGTTTCTGGTATATTCTACAAAGAAACTAAAAATAGATTATTTATATGCACCAGTAAGTGCAGTATACTTTGTGCAAAGAACTTTGATTAGAAATCCATCCACACAGTAGAAGTACAGTGATGCCCCGCTTGACGACGATAATCCGTTCTAGTAAAATTGCTGTTAAGCGACATTGTTGTCAAGCGAGAGAAAAACAATCATTGGAATGCATTGAAAACCGGTCCATGCGTTCCAATGGGGAAATACCATTGCCCATAGAGAACCGCCGATCAGCTGTTAAAAATCGCTGTCTCCCGAAGCAGGGTCCGGAAAGCAGCCATTTTGCGAAGGGAGAGAAGCCATTTTGTGAAGGGAAGCCATTTTGCGGAACCAGAAAAATCATTGTATAGTGAACAAACAGGTCGCGAAGCAGGCTCCTAATCAATGTAATGCAAAAAAAAAAAAAAAAATTGGAACCATCGTTTTGCGATCACAATAGTGATCGCAAAAATGTCATTGTTAAGTGATTTTGATGTCATGCGGGGTAAGCGTCTAGCAGGGCACCACTGTATAAAGATATGCAGTTCACTGTTATGTAGCTAAAATGGCAGTTTTTTCCAGGCAAGTAATTAAAGAGCTAGCATTATTCCCTGAAAATAAGACAGGGTCTTATATTAATTTTTGCTCCAAAAACACATTAGAGCTTATTTTCAGGGGATGTTTTATTTTTCATGTACAACAATCTACGTTTATTCAAATACAGTCATTTCATCTTATTCTGGTTGCTGTACAATGGTGGAGGGGTAAGGCTTATTATTACAAGCATCCTGAAAATCATACTAGGGCTTATTTTCAGGTTAGGTTTTATTTTCGGGGAAACAGGGTACCTGAAAACAAATAGTGTTGATTAGGGCCAGTATTCATTTGCACCATGTGCACAGTATAATGCTTAGGTTGTGGAGTTCTGGAATCTCTGACTAGCTACTGTGCAACTCAGTTTTTGCCTGCTTTTTCAGCGGGGTTAAGCCTGTCCAAGAAATTACTGGACACTTTCTGTTTTTAGATTGAAAACGGTCCAAGTTTATATGGGTGGTGGTGGTGGTAATTTAAGCAGCCACATCTCCCTGTCCTGCATCCCTATAGGGAGTAAGGCTGAAGAGCAGGCGTCTTAAACAAATCCTAATCTGACTAAACAGGAAAAAACATCATCTGATTTAGCACAGAGATGCTACTCAACACAAGAGTTCTTTTCATTTAGCCTCAGTAGGGCATCACTGCCTCCCATGCTCTCCTTCTCTTTCAAATGCTTTCAAAGCTCTTGGAATCGAAAGAGGGGCTAACTTTACATTTCAAGAAAGATGTTCCCACAACTATTACAATAGACTGATACTATATAATTGTGTTTATACATATTTCTAAGATACAGAAGGGATGAATGTACACAGAATTAAGCAGGACAGCTGTACACAGCTTAACCATCATCCTTTTTCTGAAAGGAATGAAAGAATTGCTAATGAAATGCCAAATACAACTCGTTGTGCATCCTAGCCAAAAAACACATAAAAAACCAAGTGGCAGCTGCACAATCCTGTCATGCAAAGTGTGTGGCACAGGAAGGATTAGCAATGCCAAATAGCATTTATTAAGAAGAAAGCATGTTTTTCCATAACCTTAAATTTTAAAAATAAGTACGTTTACTGCAGGTGGTTTCTGAAACAATCATTGTTGAAATCACTGTTGATCTGCTTTTTAAACAAACATTTTAAGAATGCGATACAAAATGAGGAAACAAAAATAAACAGGAGCACATGACTTCCAAACAATTTGCTGCTTACCGTTTCATAGAACTGTGCCTGCTCTTCCAGGTACAAGCGCATCACACTATTGTAATCATAAATTCGATTACTGTGAAAGTGATTCATCTCCGCTATAAATAAAACCCAAACCACATATTTGACATCAAAAAGGCATGATATTTTACTTCATACATTATTATAATAGCATGATTCCTGTCTCAAAACCAATTTGCTCTGTCTTCTCACAAATGGCAAGACACTAGCAATGTTAGAAATGGATGAAGATAATACACAGTCCTTGAATGACAGACAGCATGGTGGTACTGCCATATACTGTACTTCTTTTTTTTCACACCACCAATCTGTTACAGATAACCATTAATAGAATCCTGAGACATAATGCCTGATTTACAGTAACCCTATGAACCAATAACCTCTGAAAGATCTCTACTCGCATCTTGCTGTAGCCTTCTTTATTGAGTTAATCCATTACATGCTAACTTTTCCTTTTCCTAACTATCTAGCATTATTGTCTTACTTTCTCATGATATGTCCAGTGTATGATAGCCTCAATTTAGCCAGTTTAATTTCTAATGGGAATTTGGGCTTCATGTGATATAGAATCCACTTATTTGTTTTTCTGTCGGTTCATGGTGTCTGCAAAGCTCTCCTCCATAAATCATTCCTCCAATTTTTATTTATTTATTTATTTATTCAATTTTTACCCCGCCCCCCTAGACAACGTCTACTCGGGGTGGCTTACAAAAATTAAAACACATTAAAACAATGTAGAACAATAACTAACATAATGCAATTATTATAATTAATATTATCCAAGATGGCAACATTAAGAACCAGAAAAAAGGGGGAAAAGAACTTAGGTGACTGGGGGGAAGGCCTGTCTGAATAACCATGTTTTTAGTTGGTTTTTGAACACACCCAGCGAGGGTGCCAGCCGAATTTCAGTGGGAAGTGTGTTCCACAGCCGAGGGGCAACTGCCGAGAAGGCCCCTTCCAACAACACATTTGTAATAAATCCCCTTTTTTCCTGTTAGCTTTCTTTACTGTCCGGCATTCATGTCTGTACAAAGCAACTGGAAAACCAAATTGCATATGATTTTGGCCTTGGTCTGCACCAGTTCCTTCCAAGTTTCAGTCTTCTTCTTGTTTCTTGGCTGTATTCTTGATTTAAAATGGTGACAGAACTAAGATACAGAAAATCTTTAAAATTTTCAATTTCTTCACTATCAATATTAATCTATTTCTTTTGTAGTCATTATTTTCTCTACTTTATGTCTAACTATAATCCTGCTTTTCCCTTTTCCTCATTAATCTTCATCAGCAATCATTTCGAGTCTGATGTTTCATCCACCATTTTTCAATTTTCCTTTGTTTGAATTTGATTTGGCTTTTTATATGGTCTGTTCAGCATACAGATTTCATGAAGGAAGATAAAATGCACACTTGTCTGACATGTTTGCCAACTGGAAACCCTTCCGTCTCTCCATATTCTGTTCCAGCAGTGTACTCTTTTCCAGACATTAAATTATATGTCAGGATAATGAGATGTTAGGAGCATTCATTTTGTTGATTGATCCACAGCTTTTCATAATCCACCGATTCAAATGTTTTATTATAATCTATAAAGCACTGTAATTGTAAGCACTTTAGAATAATTTCAAATATATTTTTTGCAAATTTTAAATTTTTACTAATACATATTTGATGGAACTCATAAACCCTTCTAATATATTCACTTCCAAGCTGTTTATCCTAGCCAATCTGCTTTACAGATGTGAGAACAGCACTTAAACAATACAACAGACAAGAAGGTAGTTGCAATGAAAGCATTAGCAGAAAGTTTAGCATAAGTGTGTGAGTGTGACCAAGAATGGGAGAATGCATGTACGTGAAGAGATACTTTAAAAATACCAAAGGACATCTAAAAACATAGAGGTGTTCATTTTTACATTAATTTACCCCATAGTATTTCACTATACTTTTTTGAGGCTCTTAGTGTTTCTAAATAACAAGGGACAAAATATTGACCTTGATCTCCAGTGACCCATCCTTTTAAGTAATTAGCATCTTGATAGTGCCATTTCTGTGTTAATGATGCGTTGTCACTTTGTCTATGTAATTGCCTGGTCATGATGGCCACCACGATAAGAATATGTATAAATATGGATGGCATAGTATGAGCACTCTGTGCATCTCAGAAAATAAATTTTGATTCAAGAAAGCTCACAATGAAACAGATCTCATAGTCTTTAATATACCAAAATATACTCTCCTTTGTTTTGTTTTTGTTTTTTTTTTATTTTTCCTTTCTTAAAGTAGTTAGTTTTATTGTATCCTACAGTGCAGAACACATCATGGCGATAACTGTCAAGGGGCATCAGGTCAGATCTACAGTAGCAATTTAAACAATTGCTGTTGCTAAAAATACAATTATAAAATATCACAATGAGATGGTCAGGGCAGCTGGTCCCTGTCTGTCCCTACCTGTAAACCACCGAAGGCTATGAGACTGCACGTATAACCCAGAAGTTGTGAACTCAACAGCTGATAAGTGAATCTCCGGTAAATAACAAGGAGAAACACTCTACCCATGGCATAGGAGAGGAAGATCTGACAGGGGATGGAGTAGGCAAACAGGAGGAGATAAAAGTAGAAATCAGAGAGAAGGAGGGGAGAAAGAAAGAAAAACTAGAGGGGAGGAGGAAAAGGGACAAGAGCAGGAGAGGAAGATGATGGAGGGCAAGAGATAAACAGAGCAGGAAGGAGAAGTTGAGGAGAGTAGAGCGGGAGAAAGCTGTATTGAGAAGGGGAACAGGAACTTCTCAAAGTAAAGTCTAGCCAAGCAGAAGAACACCCAGAAGGTTGGGTGACTCAAATAGACCCTTGGTCCAAAAAGGACCAAGGAATGAAGTTCCCTACTGAGGAGGCAGAACTTCACCGATTCCACAGGAAAACTTCTTTCTAGGGAGAGAGAGAAAGGCGGGAAGAAAGGACACAAGAGAAGGCCAGGAAGAAAGCTGCCAAGGGGAATCCCAATGCTTCCCAATGGCCTGACCCTGAGATGGGAGCCCAGAAGCAGGTGGCTGCTCAGAGGAATGCTTCCCCAAGGTTTCTGATGACAAGTGAGCTCGACACCTCTACTGTGGGAGTTGCCGTCAGGGCTCCCAGAACAACTCAGGTATGTAAAATATGGGGCCAGATCTTGGGCCAAGCTATTCCCATTGGGACTCCCAAAAGGGAAACCAGAAGAGATGTTGCCTGCTGGGGATTTCCTGGGGAAATGCTGAACCTTTTGAACTTGTGGTTTTAAAGACACTTGTTGTGTCCAATTTTAAAAAAAACGGTGTTTAAGCAAGAAGAATTTCCATTGGTCAGTTTGGAATTGGGGCTGAAGATAATCTATAAAGACAACCCCCCTCATAATCACTGTCACAGAACAGACAGGCAGCCTTGCCTATTGCCTTAATCTTAGGAATTCTAATTCTGTTCCAGAACAAATAACAAGGGCAACATGTTTCCTATAATTATTTTACTATTTATTTTCAGCATTCCCAGTTAACAGGAAAAAATATGACAATGAACAGCCATACCTTGTAGTGCATATGACATGGTGCTTGCACGCTTCAACATGTTTTGCTTCTCCTGTGGCGTAATTTTGCTGGTAGCAATGAGTTTATCACCTTCCTTCACTTTTTCTATTGCTCCCTGTTAAAGACAAAACATTACACTATATTTCAAAAGCATTTCAAAAACTACTTGAATCTGCCTTCTAGTAATTGCAAAATTCTGAACTCAAATTTAAATTACCAAACCACAGTATTGGCATGCCTGCTAATGCTGCTTAAGCATTTCATGGATTCAAAGGATAAATAAAGCTACAGCAGTGTGACACCAGTGTCCTTTTCAAGTGTTACTTACATGAATAAAATCCATCAGGCTTTGAGGAGAGGGCCCAGCCTCTCTCCTTTCCTCCAGTTTCTCCATGTGGAAAATGATGCATTTCCACAGGAGATCTCTCTGCTCCCATGTACACTCTACACAGAAGCAGGAACTCACAGTAAAATACAGTGGTGCCTCGCACAACGAGTGCCTCACACAAC